TATATTTGTGTGTATGCATATGCATATTCTCTATATATAATTTGTGTGTCTCTATAGAATCTAGGGATACATAAAATCACAAATGAGAGAAGACTTAAAATATCTGTCCTTCTGAGCTTGGCTCACGTTCCTGCAAATGACATAACAGTATTCTTCTTTACGATTGAACTGTTTTTGGTTTGTTTAGTTTGTTTCTTTTTCTGAGACTGGCCTTGAGCTGATCCTTCCTGCATCTGCCTCCCAAGTGCTAGAATTACAGGCATACACCATCATGTCCACAAAATTTTAGATGCTGATAAAATAATTTCTAGGATTTATTGTATTTTTAATTGTGTATGTGTGTGTGTGTGCACATGCGCGCGCGCGGGGGGTGCATGCGCGCCCGTGTGAGTACAGGTGCCCAGAGAGGCCAGAGGCATCGAATCCCTCTGGAGTTTGGTAGAGGCGGTTGGGGTAGAGGCAGTTGGAAGCCAATGGACGTGGGTGTTGGGAGCTGAACTCAGGTCCTCTGTAAACGCCGTACCAAACAGCCGGACTGACTCCCTTTTGCTCTGGCTGATTCTTGCCCCTCCTCCGGCCCTGCTCTCTCTCCCATGAGGGCTGCACCTGCATTTCAGGGAGTGCTTGTTTCTACAATACTGAGACACTTGCAACTGGCCAGGTAGAGCATCCTCTCAGAATTCAGTGACACCAGCATCTGCTTGGTAACTGAGAAACTTGTTTTTCCTAACAGAAACTTGGAAAATTTTGTTAACTGAAAACCTTTTTGTTAACTCACCTGCCCCTGGTTTGGGATAACTATGGTGATCTGATAGAACTATAGTTATCAGCTTTACCCTTGGCATGATGTAATTATAGTTTTAAGCTTTATAAACCCTGCTGTGCATCTCCTTGGGGTCAAGAGTTCTTTCTGGCATTAGGCTCCTCTTGACCATCGGCCCTTATTAAAAGACTCTTAATTTGACCATCACTGTGTAGCATTGTTATGTGCCTTGGGCTTGGTATTAATTACACTGCTCTTAACTGCTGAGCAATCTCTTCAGACTCCAAAACAAAATAATTTAAAAGGGGGGATGAGTTGAAAACTCCCAAAATGACAATCATAGTAGTTTCAGATTTTATTTCTTTCTCTCAAATCAAGGGATACAGAAGTATTTTTCCAGAGTAACATTCAAGAGTATGGCACAAGGTTAGATAAGGCTGAAGTGAGGCCATCATGGGACAAGACGGCACCTGGCCCTCTCCCCATGTTGCCTATAACTTGGTGTTTGCAGGGAGTGAAGAAGAGTTGGTGTCTGTGACATTGGTCTGGGCCGAGTCCTCGCTCAGGGCTCTCTCCAGACTGGCAGGCAGGGATTGGATCAGTCTCTCTCTGAAGTCCTGGCCCATGAAAACGTAGAGCATGGGGTTGAGGCAGCTGTTGAAGAAGGCCAGGGAGCTTGTTGGGTTGACCAACATGTCAAGGACTTGATGCCCTCCACTCAACAGTGTCTCTTTGAGCCAGACAGTGCCAAGAAGAGCAACCAGCTGAAAGGGGAACCAGCAGATGAAGAAAGAAGCCACAACAGCGGTTAGGACGCGCAAGGGACGGCTGGAATTAACAAGGCCTCTTCTGTGGATCCTGGCAGCAATGAGTCCGTAGCATATGGCGACAATGGACATGGGCATGCTGAATCCAATGATGAACCGGACGATCCCTCTGGCTGTCAACATGGTGATGGCCACGCTCAACCTCTCTTGTTGGGTGTCACCCCAGGATAAAAAATTGAATGTACAGTACACATCCCCTCCTGGGTGTCTTACTGTGGTTAAGAAAAGGAACAGTGGTACGGTAAGGGTCAGAGCAAGAATCCAGGGTGCGACCATCACCTTCCTGGCCAGGCTCACCGTGCGGTGGTTCTGAGCCCACACCGGGTGCAGTACACAGATACAGCGGTCCAGGGCAATGAGAGCGATCAGGAAGACGCTTCCAAACAGGTTTATGTCCACCACGATGTGAACTAGTTTGCACAGGAACCAGCCAAAAGGCCATTTTTCTTTCATGGCCATGGAGACGATGAGGAAGGGTAAAGTAGCTGTGAAAGAGAAGTCCGCCAAAGCCAGGTTCAGGTAGCCGACGGTGGTAACGGTGTGTGCCATCCGGAATCCAGCCACCCAGATCACCAGCCCATTGCCCAGCACACCTAGGACACAGGTGATGGAGAGGACCACCATTGAGAGGATCCACAGGGCTCTGGAGATGGCAGAGTCGTAGACCACCAATTCTGAGCTGTTCAGAGCGCTGGAGAAGTTGGCTTCCATCCTGACCGCACCTGAAACAGGTCAACAATAGGCACATTTCAGGTGTGTCTCCACCTTACAGCATCTTCATTCAGAACCCACTCCACTTGAAACCAGGAGACCCTTTGCTCCAGTAATACCATAAAGCTGGCTTTCTGTTGGATGATCTTTGGAGAAAGCGTTTTTCTGCACATTTTCAGAAGTATTAACGCATCTCACACTGATTATGAAAAAAGATTATAAACTAGCCGGGCATGGTGGCACATGCCTTTCGTCCCAGCCCTGAGGAGTCAGAGACAGGAGGGGAAAAGGCCAGCCTGGTCTAGATAGCAATAAACTCATTGATTCACCAAGTTAGACCTTGGTGTAATCTCTACTTTGGTCTGTCTTTGGCTTCCTATCTAAGTAGGGTGTGTGTGTGTGTGTGTGTGTGTGTGAGAGAGAGAGAGAGAGAGAGAGAGAGAGAGAGAGAGAGATGCATAGCCCCAAATACTCTCACATAAGACACCTGGCACTTGTTCACATTTAATTCTCATGATAATATTATGAAACAGTGGCATTCCTCTCCTGTCAATCAAAAGCTATACACTCGGGGTTTCAGTGGGGTTTTTTTAACAGTAAATGCTTTGAAAACCAAGTTTAGTGACTGCCAGAGCTCTAACCTTTGCCTTACTAACACACTACATTTGAAAGGGCTCTGTGATCATCGCTGACTAATCAGACACATTGATAGGATGGTGGTTTCCTCCTTTTCCAGTCACACTTCCTCCTCATCTTATCTCCACCCATCACTTCTGCCCAAGTCATTGTGTAATGTCCTGCAGAATTCCTCAACCCTGACACTCTTGGCACTTGTGGCTAGTTAATTCTGGCTGTATGCGGATGCTGCCCTACATCATAGGAGCCTGTACTTGTTAGTTTTGTCAACTTGATACAAACTAAGGTCTCCTGGGAAGAGGGAACCTCATCTGAACAAGATCAGATTGGCCTGTGGCTATGCCTGTGAGACATTAACTGCTAATTGATGGAGGAGGGGTCAGCCCTCTGTGGGTGGTGCCATCCCTAGGTGAGTGACCAGGGCTGTACAAGAAAGGTAACTGATTAAGCCAGGGGGAAGCAAGGCAGTGGAGCAGCCTTCCTCCATGGTCTCTGCTTCAGTTCCTGCCCCATGTTCCTGCCTTGAATTCCTGCCTTGATTTTGTTCAATGATGGATTGTGACCTGATGATCGTAAATTGTAATACATTCTTTTTGACCGTGTTTGTTTTTTTTTTTTTTTTTTTAATCACAGCAATTGAAAGCAAACCAGAACAGATGTTTAGCAACATCTTTGATCTCCTCTGCTAGATCCCTGGAGCAACTCTTTTCCAGTTACGAGAACAGAAAAAAAAAAAATGGCTACCAACATTGTGAAATGTCCCCAGGGAGACAAAACCACCCGCAGTTGAAAAGCACTGGGCTCTAGAGTCAAGTGAACGTTTCCTTTTTCTTTTCTTTTGTGTGTGTGTGTGTGTGTGTGTGTGTGTGTGTGTGTGTGTGTGCAGTCCACATATGTCCACAGTGTGTACACATCCATGTGCCTATACATGTGCATGTGGAGGCCAGAGGTCAATGTTGACTGTCTTCCTCAACCATGTCATCTTATTTTCTGAGATAAATTCTCCAACAGAACCTAGAGCTTGCTGATTGGCTAGGCAGGCGGACCAGCAGACCAGCGAGCTCTGGGACTTCTCCTCTCTGCCTTCCCAGAACGGGGTAATAGGTGGATGCTGCTGTGCCTGTTTTGTTTGTGGGTTTTTTTGTTTGTTTGTTTTTTGAAAGATTGACTTTTATTTTTTATTTATGTGTGTGTCACCAGTAAGCAATTGTCCAAGAAGGGACAAAGAGATCGTCAGACCCATTGGAGCTGCAGTTACAGAGTGTTGAGTGTTGTGAGCCACAGGGCACGGGAGCTGGGAACTGGAATTGGTCCTCTAGAAAAACAAGTGCTCCTAACTACTGAGCCATCTTTCCAACCACAAGTGCCTTGTTTGTTGTTTGTTCGCTTAACTTTTTTTGTTTTTGTTTTTTTTTTTTTTTTGAGAAAAGGTCTCCCTGTAGTGCCAGCTGGCCTAGAACTCACTACGTAGACCAGGCTGGCCTCGAACTCACAGAGATCCGCCTGCCTCTGCCTCCCAAGTGCTGGAATCAAAGGCGTGCACCACCATGCCCGGCTCTTGTCTAACTTTTTAAAGCATTTATTGAGAATGTCATACATGCATATAAGGTGTTTTGAACAAACCCACGCCCACTCCCTCCCCTCCAACTCCTCCCATATCTCCCAGTCACTTTTTCCTGAACGACTTCATGTACTCTTTCTTTCTTTATGGGGCTTTTCACTACTCCACTCCCCCCTCTGAAGAGGTAACCCTAAAATCTTTTAGGGATTAGATAAGAGCTTCCAAACACTTTTATATTTTTGGCCTTCTTTTAATGGGGGAGATGGGGATCCAAACTCAGATCCTCACACTTGTGCAGCAAGCACTTTACCCACTGAGCACACCCTCTGCCCCAGTGCTCTCTAATTGCATCTGTGAAGCCTCCCCAGTGAGTTCCCACCACTGTCATGTCTTTGAGCCTCGTTTTCCTCTCCTGCACGTCAGGAACGGCTTCGTGATAAACACGGACTTTTAACATGATAAGTTAGTTAATGAGGATGGATGTGGAAATCTTCCAGGGTGAACGCACAGTGAGCCTTTAACACACCTCACCATGCTCTGTACTGTGTCCTGGGGCCCCGTTCTGGGCTGTGCTTTGCAGAAGCTCAAGTTCAGTCAAGAACATGCTTGTGGGACCAGGGCTGTATCTCATTGGGAGAGTGCTTGCTTAATATGCACGGTTTGGTCCCCAGCACCTAGGTGTGGTGTTTTGCAACCGCTGGAGACTATTTCAGCGTTCCACAACTGGTCAAAATGCAGAGCATAAGTGACTGTGGGTGCGAAGCAACCCTGCACCTAAGGCTAAGGGAACCGCTCCAAAGAGGGGCTAGAAAATTTTAAGAGCCAGAGGACCTGCTGTTAGGTAGGGTCTTCTAGACATGACATTTGTACCCTTGAAATTGCAACAGTGTGCTTGCCTAAACAAGACTTGCACAATGACACCAGCTGAAGTGCCAGTGTGGGTTGGGGAAATGTCACAGGGTCCCACCTCCATATGAAAAGCTACAGGCGATGAACAGCTGCTCAAAGACAGGGAATCCGTTTTCTCCAGGGATGAGTGCTCCGATAGGTTATCCAGTCCCAAGTGATCAACCCAAAACACATGTACATACGAACCACACTAAATGGACTGAGTGGATTGTAACTATAATAATTATAATAACAAGAATAATTAAAGAGGTCAAGAGGGACCATTGTAGAAGAGGGGGCCGAAAGATCGCAAGAGCCAGGGGTGGTGCAGGAACATAAGGAAACAAAGGCTTTCAGGTCTCTGGGAACTTGCTCATATGAACTTACAGCAATGGTGTCAGCATGCAGCTCATTCAGACAAAAACCTGCATAGAACCGGGGAAATGGGCACCAGGCCCCAAGCTTAGCCGAGGAACTATTGGCAACTGATTTCTGCCGGGTGAGGGAGAGTTGATCTTCTTTAAGAGAGTGACTCTGAATAGTCTGACTAGACTCCAGTGGATGAACTTGCACTGAGGGGCATCTGGGTATACAAACTTGACTCACTAGGCTTTAACATATATGACAAATGCATGAATCTGGTTGGGGGAACCATGGGGGTATAGGTGGGGGAGGAAGCATAAAGATGATTAAGATGTAGTGTATGAAATGCACAAAAATTCAATAAAAAGTACATTTAAAAAAGAATTTGAGAGGAAGTTAGGAAGGACATTGAAGGGGTTGGTGTGGAATGGGCAGGGAAACCGAGGTAAGTACAGTGCACGTGTGACAGCCTCAAAATTTTAATTTTAAAGACATTGGGTATAGCAGTGCACACCTATAATCCTAGCACTCTAGAGGTAGAGGCTTGAAGATCAGAAGTTCAAGGTCGTCCTTAGCTATATAGTAAGTTCAAGGCCAGCCTGCTCTACCTAAAAAGGAGAACATGCTTGTGACAGTAGTAACTAGTACTCATAGATGTGAATCCAAACTTGAAGAGTTTCGTTTTAACTTCACAACTCATCTCAGCAGCTCTTGAAGATTGCACACGTTAATAAAGTATTGGATACATTCTAAGATGTTGTGAATATTGGATAGCATTGTGCTTTATAAATTGCATAACCAGTACAAAGTTAAAAGAATTAAGACTTAAGGGCTGGAGAGATGGCTCAGTGGTTAAGAGCACTGGCTGCTCTTACAGAGGTGCTGGTTTGGTTCCCAGCACCCACATGGCAGCCAACAACCATCTGTAGCCCCAGTTCCAGGGAATCTGATGCCTTCTTCTGGCCTCTTCAGGCACTGCACATAGGGAACTCTGAGTCTGAAATGGAACTGACTTGATGAAAATTGAGCACGTCGATACTTCTCTCTGCTTAGCAGGCTCAGTTTCCTTCCATAAAATGAGTATTCCGGGCTGGGGAGATGGCTCACTATAAAGTGTCATGCAAGCACAAAGACCTGAGTCTGGAGCCCCAGCACCCATAGTAGTGCTGGATATGGGAGTGCATTGGGGGAGGGAAAGAGCAGGAGAAGAACTCCTGGAGGTGGAGCTCGCTGGCCAGACAGCCAAGCCCACCAGTGAGCTGAGGGTTCAGGAAGAGACTGCGTCAAAAAGACAGAGGGAAGGTGAGGGGGACACTTGATGTTGACCATTGGCCTCCGTGGGCACAAACATGCACACACACCACACACACCGAGAATGAGAAAGACAGAGAGGAGGGGAGGGGGGCACTTTATGTGTATCATTGGCGTGCGTGGGCACACACATACACACACACCACACACACAGAGAGAGAGAGAGAGAGAGAGAGAGAGAGAGAGAGAGAGAGAGAGAGAGACAGAGACAGAGAGACAGAGACAGACAGACAGAGAGACAGACAGAGAGACAGAGAGAGACAGAGAGAGGAGGAGGAGGAGGAAGAGGAGGAGGAGGAAGAAGAAGATTCAATGCCTTTGCTTGCTCCACAAACCTCCTCACTTCCTCTTCTGAGGGACTAAATCCCTAATACACAAACAGGGTCACTAACAAGTAATAAAGATGGCACACTTCCTGGCTGGTCTGGCAGAAGTCCTGATTTTGTAACACCTAAAGGCCCCCTTCAACTGCCCTGCTTGGAGTCACATAGCCCTGGATGTCTCAGCTTGGAGATATGACCTATCAACCTTCTCTTCTTTAAGGTGACCAATCCAAATTTAGAGAGAAGGGGAACCACCAAAACCCTTAAAATCCACAGTCTCCCCAGGGGACATTGGATTTTTTTCCAGGTCCCCTCTCCACTTGGGGAGAGTTTCATCTTTCTGTTAGAGTGGGTATATGGATGTGTGATTCTTTAATCTTTAAATAACTTTGACTGTTGCTCTCTGCTGGTCTCAGATTTTTTTTTTTCCTGCCTTTTAATTTAGTTGGCTGAGGAAAATGAACCTAACAATGCCCTTAGACTGACGGCAATATCCACACAACACTGTCATTTCCACACTTGGGCTATGATCTTGACTGAAATTTTACTGAGAAAAAAAAATGGTAATAATTAGATGTGCACGTTTACCATCCCCATCTGTCCTGATTTGCTTTCTGTTGCTGTGATAAAACACTGATCAAAACCAACTGAGGAGAGGGTTTATTTCACCTCACAGATAACAGTCCATCATAAGGGAAGCCAGGACAGGAACCTGGTGGCAGGAACTGAAGCAGAGGCCATGGAGGAACGCTGCTTACTGGCTTGTTCTGCCTGGCTTGCTTAGCGACCTTTCTTACGCAGCCCTGGCCCACTTGTCTAAGGATAGCACTGCCCAGATAGGCTACCCTTCCTACACCAATTGGCAATTAAGAATTTACATCACAAATGTGGCCACAGACCAGTCCAATGGAGGAAGTTCTGCAACTGAGGTTCCTTCTTCCCAGGGAATCTAATTTCTCACGTTGACAAAACCTAACCAGCTCACCAAACCCTTCCCTTCTACCTACCATCAGTTCCTCCAGGGGAAGGAACTCTCATACATTTCAAACTGCCTGTCCACACACAGACTCTGGATCTCTCTCTCTCTCTCTCTCTCTCTCTCTCTCTCTCTCCTCTCCTCTCCTCTATCTCCCCCTCACCAAAACTTGATTCCTGCATTTTTTCCTTTTCTTTTTTCCAAGCCAAGTCAAAACCACAAGGATGTGCTTTTTAGTGAAATGTGTCGTTGTCACATGAACATTATCATGTCACCTCCCTTCACATACAAATCATCCCCAGCAGACCTGGTCATGCATGCTAATAATTCCAACTACATGGGAGGCTAAAACAGGAGAATTGCAGATTCAAGGCCCACTTGAATTTATCGAGAACATGTCTCACAACAAAAAGTAAAAAGAGGATTGGGGATGTAACTCAATGGTAGAGCACTGGCCTAGAGTCCCCCAGTGAGGGGCTGGGGTGTGGCTCAGCAGTGGAGCCTCTGCCTAGAGCCCCCCAGTGAGGAGCTGTGGGAAGAGTGGCTTAGCAGTAGAATACTTGCCTAGCATATAAGAAGCCCTAGATTCAGGAGAGAGAGAGGGAGGGAGGGAGGGAGAGAGAGAGAGAGAGAGAGAGAGAGAGAGAGAGAGAGAGAATGCTCTTTTGCCCGAGTCTTCTCCCTATTCACAGAATTCACAGCCAGACCTTGGAATGGGCACCTGCTCTATCCATTTCCCCACAACTCTTGATCACACTCCAAACACACCAACTGGGTCCCCAGCTCGCCACCAAATGCGTCTCCTCAAGGTGCTGACTCCAGGCTTCCAAACACAATTCTCTCTTCTCCGTTTTTATCCTGATGTCCCCATGGCATGACACCCGTTAGACCCCCTCTTCCTTCCCAAGTCACTTTATGCCTTAAAATGATCAAAGACTCACACAGCATACACTTGGTTGTGTTCATAGTTCAGTGAACCACATTCTTGTCTGTCCAGTTTGCCAGCTTTTTCTGCTATAAATTTGGATCTAAATGTTGGAGTTGCACCTGCCCAAACACTGTCACCCTCTCTCATCTTTCCACAGGTGACAGATAATACAATCCAGCCTCGTGGCTTAAAATTCTATACTTCTGATCCAGGTGAGATGGCGCACAACTTTAATCCCAGCACTCGGGAGGCAGAGGCAGGTGGATCTCTGTGAGATCGAGGCCAACCTGGTCTACGCAGAGAGTTGCAAGACAGCTGAGGCTATATGGAGAATCTATCTCAAAAGTAAATAAATAAAAATAAAATCTTATTTCTAATTCTCTCTTGATAGAACCAGTTGGCTTCTTTTTTAAATTAAAGATTTTGTTGAATTTTTGTGGGTTTCATACAATATATTTTGATGATATTTAGACCCCTTCCCCTAACTGAACCTCCCTTGTGCCCCCCACTCAGCTTCAAGATTTTTTCTCTCCCTCAAATATATACATATATGTATATGTATGTATATTAAGGACTACCAAGTCAAATTTTGTGTCTCCAAATGCCCTTTAGTGTGGGTCCATCCACTGGAGCCTGGTTGACCTATCCAGCTTTACACCCTTAAAGAAAATTGACTCTGGCCCTCCCAGTGGCTGTCAGTTGTCCGCAGTCCCTCAGCTAGGGTTGAGGTGTCTTACAGCATGCATCAGTCTCATGGAAGCTCAAGCCAGACAAGATCCTAGCACAGAAAGGCCACAGTGGGGGGGGAGGGGGGCGGGCTGGAATGATGCCTTAGTGGTTAAGGGCACTTGCTGCTCTTGCAGAGGACCTGGGTTCGATTCCCAGCACCTACAGATGGCTAACAACCATCTGTAACTCCAGTTCCAAGGGGACCTGACTCCTTCTTCTGACCTCCATGGGCATTGCATGACTTACATACATGTAGGCAATGCAATGCACTCATACACAAAAAATTAAAATAATAAAATATTTTTTAAAGGACTCAGGGAAGGGAGTAAGAAACCAATCGACTTGTTGACTTCTCCCAGTCAGAGTCCTTGCAGCACCAAGACCCAGCGTTACACAAACTGCACTCTCTAATGTCCCATTTCCCAAGCCTCTTCTCCCAACATTATTTCTATTTGTAGTTCACAGATTCAGTTGTAAGTTTCCAAATGTAAGATTTACCTTTCATTTCTTTTTTCCTTTATCCTCCAATCCAATCCAGTCCCACTGTACATACTGAACACAGAGGAGAATCAGTCACATCACCACTGCCTTTGCCCATGGCCCCTGATACTTTCAACAGTCTTGCAAGTAACTTGTTCCTGAATCTGACACCCCCTTCCCTAAAATCCATTCTTCAGACAGAAGCCCTGCGACCTTTTAACAGGGCAAGGTTGTGGTGGCGCATCGCTGGGGTCCCAGCTGTTGAATAAGATCCTGTAAGCTCAGAACTTCAAGGCCAGACTGGATAATATACTCATATCTTATCTCGAGACATAATTCTAAGTTAGGCGTTGTGTTGCGTGTCTGTAATCCTAGCACTTTGGAAGTAAAAGCGGGAGGTCGGGGAGTTCAGGGCTAGCCTTGGATACATAGCAAGTCTAAGGCCAGTTTAGGATAAATGAGAAACTGGCTAGATAAAACACAAAAAAGGGCATTTTTTTTAAATGATCATGACGTTTTTCTGCTCAACTCTCCCCAGGGGCTGTGAGCTTCTGGATCTGCCCTGTTCATTCGTCAGACCCCTATGTCCTCCCACATCCCATGCACAGTTCACACTGTGTCCTTTGATCCCTTGAGCACACAAGCTCCTGACCACCTCAGATGCTTTGTACCCTCTGTTCCTTTCTGCTCACGATGCTCTTCCCATGGAGCATCCCTCTCCTGGCTCTTTCTCAGCTTCAGTGTTACGTCCTCGGAGGCCGGGCCTGACCCCCAAGTAAAGCCTGTTTCCTGGGCTCAGCTTGGGCTGTCAGGTCCTTTCCTTGCTAACCCATTTATTTTCCTTCCTGAAAAACCCTCTGCAACAGTGTGCAGACTCAAGACATTACCAAGTGTCTCTAGAGTCACATCGTCCAACAGAAACATAATCTGATGCACACACAGCAGCCGCATATGTAACTGGCAATTTTCTGGTAGTGATGTTGGAAAGAATATAAAACTCTGAGGGCAGTCATCTTATTGATAAATAATAACCCAACCTGTTCCCAAATAACGTCTTTGGAACATGTAACTAAAATACAAACTATTAACGCAATAGTTTAGTGGTTTCCATGGTCAAAGACTATTTCAAGTGTGTGTGTGTGTGTGTGTGTGTGTGTGTGTGTGTGTGTGTGCGCGCGCGCACAGGTGCACATGGAGGCCAGAGATTAACCTAGTCACTGTCCACCTTTATTTTGAGGCAGGGCCTCTCACTGGTCTGAAACTAGCCAGACTGACTCAGCTGACTGGTCCAAGCCTGGGATCAGCCTCTTTCTACCTCCCCAGCAATGTACACCACATGGATTTATCTTTTTACGTGGGTCCTGGGATCCGACACAGGACCTCAAGCTTACAAGGCATTCTTTACATTCTAAAGCATCTTCCCATGCCTCTAAGTGCATTTTGTTCTCAACATATTCCAGGTCAAGGACCCAGCAAGCAGCCATCCCATGCGGATGGGTGTGAGACTGAACATCTCTGTTCAGGACTTTAGGACTATCAGACCATATAACAAGCATTCAAACAATACTTTTTCAGTCATCAGAGGTCAACTTACCAGCAGCGAAGGTCCCCTTCCTATGGCTGGTTGTCAGTTTCCTGTGGAGTAACAGGGAGTGGGGAGCTGGTTCTCAACAGAGACGTCCGGGCACTCAGGGAGGAAGAAGAAAGCTGGGACCAATCAAATAACAGAAACTTGAGATTTCTTAAGATGTCCAGAAGCCCCACAGATGTGTGGCCAGTGGAGCTGAGGGTTCCCTCCCCTCGTCAGTCCTCTGAATGGCAGGGTCTGGGCATATGTATGTTCACAGTTCTACTGAATGTCCTCAGACATTTGGGGAAATGAAGACATTAGCAAGGTGAGAAGGATGAGAGGGAAGCAATCAAAGATGCCGACAGCTGGTGCCTTGCAGCTCAGTTTTTCCAGCAGTCCTCAGATGCAAAGACAGAGAGCAGAGACTCCCTTAGTGGAAGGACTCATGTCTCTCTCTCTCTCTCTCTCTCTCTCTCTCTCTCTCTCTCTCTCTCTCTCCCTCTCTCTCTCTCTCTGTCTCTATATCTCTTCTTGTACCTCCCCTTCTTCCTTTCTCTCTCTGTCTCTCTCTCTCTTTCTCTTTCTTCTCACCTTTCAAAACACAGCCTCATGTATCCCAGGCTATCCTCAAGCACACTGTGTGGCCAACTGAAATTCTGATCCCCCTGCCTCCACCTCCTGAGTGCTGGGGTCACATCATGCTCTACCACACCCAGTTTGCACAGGGCTTCCTATAAGCTAGATAAGCACTCTACCACTGAAGCTGCCTCCCCAGCCCACGGCCCTGTTCTTTAACAGACCATGGTCATTCGGCTGATTTGAGGTCCTCATGGAGACAGGAACCTCTGAAGAAAAGAAAAGCAGATCACTTTGCTATGGCTGGCATAACAAAACAGATGAATTGAGTCTCCTAAACATTATAAGCTGAGCGCTCTGGAGGCCAGAAGTCTAAGATCAAAGTGTCAGTCCTGGGGCCTCCCTCCCTGGTTTGCATGTGACCGTCTCTTCCTTCCGGTTCCTCACACATCCTCCCTGAGTGCTTACACAACCTTGGCATTTCTCTCCTTTCATTAGGACACCACTTATGTAGCATTAGGGCCCACCCTGATGATCTCATTTAGCTCAAATAACTACTTTAAATGTCCTGACTCTGAACAGTCCGGTGCTAAGATCCTAAGGTTCAGGGATACAGCATGAAACTGCAGGAGACCCTAGTTTATGCCTTAAGACAGAATTATGGGGAAAGGTGAGGGACAAAATGCTGGAATCAGTCTGAGGAGCCGGTGAGCCCAGGTGTGCCTGGCTTTGAAAGCAAGGTCTGAGCTGAAGACAGAGATTTGCATGAGGTGCGATGAGACCTCAAAGATACAGACACCCACAGAGACTGAGACAAAGAATGCTTTCTAGTTTTCCTAATTACGAAGACTTGGATAACGCTTACTGCATAGGAATCCATACTGTGTGATTGGCATTAGTTATCTTGTTTATTCTGGTGCAATTAAAGAAACGATTTCTGGGGGGGGGTATTTATATTTTTATGGGGCTTCTGACTAACATTCCCCCCTCTGAAGAGGTAACCCTAAAATCTTTTAAGGATTAGATAAGAGCTCCCAGATACTTTTGACATATATATTGCAGCAACTGTGCATGGGAGCATTTCCCTGTATTCTTTCTCCGATTGCTTGTTATTGGTATATAGAAAGGCTATTGATTTTTGTAGACTGAGTTCATAACCTGCCACCATACTGAAAGCTTTGATCAGTTCTAGGAGTTTTCTGGTGGAACTTTTGGGATCTCTTAAGTATAGTATCATATCATCTGTAAGCAGTGATGGTTTGGGGCTGGAGAGATGCCTCATCGATTAAGAACACCGGTTGTTCTTGCAAAAGACCCGGTTCGAATCCAAGCACTCACATGGCAGCTAACAACTGTCCATAACACCAGTCCCAGGGGATCCGACAGCC